CATGTCAAAACGAGTTTAGCATTTATTATTGTTTTTAAGAAGTTAACCAATAGAAACTCTTTATTTTAACACAATTACAAAAATATCTTTATGGGTCCATAACAAAAGTAAAGACATGTATGGATTCTTCTAGATTTTCATTTTGACCATTAATTATACAATTATTATTTTTTCCTTAAATGATGTTAAAATTACTAAAATATCATTGGTAGTCCTTCTCATGCATCTTATATACTCCATTTGTCCCTAATTACTTGTCCACTTTTGAATTGACACACATATTAAGAAAACTATGATTGACATAGTGAGTTTATCATTTTACCCTATTAATTATGAAATGAGTGAATTAAAAATTTAAGATTTTCAAAAAAATTCTACCTTTTTCAAAGTAATTAATTGAGGGTATAATAGTTATTTTTTTTTGTCCTTTATTGATTAGTCAAAATGGACAAGTAATCAGTGACAACTAAAATTTAAATCAATACAACTAAAAATCTACCATAATAACAATATTTATAAATATATATAAAACTTATTTAAGACAAAAAAATTAAAATTCTTCAATCTGCTTATATTAAAAAAAAATAAGTGTGAATAAATATTGGAAAATAGGAGATTATTTCTTACCAGTAATAGAATATAGAAGTGGATTTTAATTACAAATAATAAATAATTGGTAGGAAAGAGAGGTTGAATATAAACGGTGAAAACAAAGAGCATCTAATAAGCACCGAAAGTGAGGATATCCTATTTGGATATTCCTTTTAAATATGCCAAATTCCCCTAAACCACTGGAATTCATGCTTCGAATATTCTTCCGTCTTCCTTTTTATATACTTTTATTTTCTCTGTTTTCCTTCTCCATTTTTTGCAATCTTATAAGTATATACTCCTATTGAAAGAAAGAAAAAACTCTGTATTGTATTGTATTGTGTGGAGATGAAGTTTTGGAAAATATTGAAGAGTCACATAGAGGAAACATTGCCTGAATGGCAAGACAAATTCTTGTGTTACAAAGATCTGAAGAAAGAATTGAAATTGATTTATCCTCAGGATGCTAGACCTATGAAAAGGCAGAGGTTGAATAATGATGAGGTTACCAAGGAGGTGAATGATTTTGTGAAGCTGTTAGAAGAGGAGATTGATAAGTTTAACAGTTTCTTTGTCGAGAAAGAAGAGGACTACATCATTCACCTTAAGGTCCGTATCCCTTACTGTTTTGTTTTGTCTTGTTAAACTCAATCACATGAATGATTAACTATTATAGTCTTTCTAATCTTGTCAGGTATTGAAAGAAAGGGTAGCTGAGATGAGAAAGTCAAATGTAGAGGTGAATAGATTAGGTAGGGACATTGTCGATCTTCATGGAGAAATGGTTTTATTGGAGAATTACAGTGCTCTTAACTATACAGGTGGGAATCCCTTCTCTTCAATTGAGTTCTATCAGCAACCTCAACTTAATTCATAGCCAGATTAATCAACTGAAACATGTGGGGCAGTGGATGCATTGTTCCTCCCTTAATTACATGTATAGGGTTAGATCTGAGGGTATAGAAAATTCATTCTTAATAGGAATGGGGTGCGAATCCAAATTGGTGGCAACCCCCAAAAACGAAGTAATGGATTTTCAATGCTAAATTTTACAACATAATTGCATATAGACATCTGATCAGTCACCTCTTTGTGGCATATGTACAAGTATGGATGTCTTTTCCTCTTCACGTTTGTCCTGTCCTCCACTACCTGCTGATATCATTCGTATAGCTTTTCCCATATGGCTGTAATGAATTTATATTTTTGCTTTTGCTCTTCACAGGAGTTGTGAAGATTTTAAAGAAATATGACAAACTCAGTGGGGAGCTTCTTCGATTGCCTTTTATCCAAAAGGTGCTCGCAGAGCCATTCTTCGAAACTGAGGTTCTAAATAAACTAGTGAAGGAGTGTGATACACTTCTTAGCCTTTTATACCAAACTGAGCCACTCAAAGTAGCAGGAGCAGGGGGAGGAGGTAGTGGCGGAGAAAGGCCAGTCAAAGTTCCTCAAGACCTTGCAGAGATAAAGAATATGGAGAACATGTACTTGAGACTTACCTATTCAGCACTCAGAGTCTTGCAGGAGATGCGTAGCAGAAGTTCAACTGTCAGCATGTTCTCTTTGCCACCAATGAACACCAACGCGCTCGACAATGTATGGAAAAATGCTCCAGTGGTCATACAAGAAGCAAAGTAGGGGTTACTCATGTCTCTTGATATACTCTTTTTTTTCCCCTTTTTGCCAAGAAGAAGCAGTGAGTGCAGTTGCTGCGACTACATTACCTTACAGCTCATATATAGCTTCAGATTTCTGATGCATCATGTAACTGATAAATATATATATATATATATACACGTTCCAATTTGTAGTCCATTGTTTTTGGCTCAAGGAATTTTTAAGTTGAGCTAATGCTGATATAGTTTTAAAGGTTGTGGACTGTATGTATGTATGTACATTAGTATTGGAGGCAGACTTTGATGTTTGGGTAAAGATTATGAGGTTCACCAGCTCAGATAAACTTCTTGGCAAGTGTTTGGTACACACTAATATGCTAAATATAGGCACCTAAGGTGTCGGTCAATGAACTGAGTGAGAGCCATGAGGTTATAGGTTTAAATTTCAGCGAAAACAAAAAACATCAGGTGGTTCTTTTTATTTGTCTTAGTCTTGGTGGATAGAGTGCGCGAAAATTGTCTAAACACTACGATTATAAAAAAAAAATGCCAAATATATGCAAAATCATAAGTTGTTCACATTCGAATTAACAATTTTAAGCGTATAAACACTTTTTAGTTTCATTAGTATTTTATCCCTGATAATTTTTGCAATTTGGAAAATAATCTTTCCTCAATAAAATCTCTAACTCCCTCTTAATACTATTTTGGTCTTCGTCCTACATGCTATGTTGCTTGGGCTCTTTAAAAAGGTCAATGAGTGCGTGTCGGATTCTTAAAAAGTAGTGTAAATCAGAGAATCCTACATATGAGCCCTCGAAAGTGAAGCGTGTACGCAACTTAGCCTACGTGTAAATATTTTTTTTATTTAGAACTTTTTGTAGTGAGTTTTAAAGACATTTTAGTCGTCCTTATTTGCCGAAAAACATGATTTGTTATTTGTTGCTTAAAATGTATCAATTGTTTTATATCCGCATTTAGTCATGTTTATGGTATGTAAAGGCTTAAATATGTCATAGAACTTTCAGAAAAGACTTATTTATATCATCAATTAAAAATTTGGATCATCTATGTCATTACCATTTAAGAAGAGGCTCATCCATGCCATTATTTTTTAACTCCGATTTTGAAAAACCATTTTTTACACCCCAAACAACTTTTTAACACTTTTCAATTGTGGTTTTTGGATCAAATGTACTTTCTTTTTTTTGTTTCTTCTTCCTTATGAATACCAAGAACATATAAAGAACATCAATAGAAATATTAGACCGTTCAATGAATTCTCCGAAAATTGAAAAAGCTTAATTGAAATTTGGATAAAAAAAATTAAATAATACCTGCTAATCATCTTGAAATTTAATGGGTTTATCAAATTGTTCGAAATGTAATAAATATTTAGATATAATTTTAAAATTGAAGAGAGTTAAACAAATAGTAGTAAAAAAGGGAGGTGGAGTTGTGGTAAAAAGTGACATTGAAAGTGAGAAGCTTCAATAGAGATGGCATTGAATTTTTGAAGAAGAAGGAAGAAAGAAAAAGAAAAAATAATAAGGAAAAAAAGTTAAAATAATAAGAAAAACAAGAAAATATATTTTATAGAAAAATACTTGTAAAAATAAAATTATATTCGTTATTTTAGTCTGTTCACGCTCTTTAAGAGTGTGGATACACTCTCTATGCCAGGTGGACAAAACTAATGAAATAATATCAGTTCAGGATGCTTTAGGGGGGTAATAGGACGCTTGCATAGTTAAGGTGTCTCTTTAAAAATTCGGAACAACTTTAAGTGTCACTTTATCTCTTTTTTCTTCGTATATAGATTAATTATATGTATTTGTATACATATATGTATTATTATTGAGTGGATGAATTGTATATGTATATGATATATGTATATGTATATAAATCATTATTTATATAACACCGCATGTGTGGAGCATTCTTGGGGTGCTTCTTTGAGTAGAAATCTAATACCCTAAAAAAGTATGTCCAAAAATAAGTTTACTTTTTTTTAAAAAAAAAGATCGTTAACATAGTTAATTCCGACATTTATACAAGTGAACATATTATATACAATTATTTGTATATGTATATAAATCATTAAAATAGATAAATAATCAGTTGTGTATAAATGTTGAAAATAATACATTGAATTTGTATAAGGTATTGTGGGTGATAATATACATGAAAATAAAATATACAAACAAAACAATATAGAACCAATCAACAGTAATGAAATTTTGTATATACACAAATATGTATAGATAAGTACAATATAAGAACGAAATATACAAATACAAAAATATATACTAATAAGGTTTATACAAATATCTGGAATTCTTCAAATTCATTTTGTTCAATAAACCAAAAACGACATCATCATATGTTTTGGATTCATTGCTATTAGAAGCAATTTTCTTTAATTGGATCTAAACTCTTGATTTGACAATTTGTTGCTTAACAATTGGGTCATATCTATGCTTGGATCTAAACTCTTGAATCGACCCCTTCCCTTCAATTGATCTAGATTTTGCAATTGACCTTGCAATCACCCCAAAATCTTGTGTTAAATCCAAAGGAAAAATGGTGGATCGTCAAAAAAATTGCCATGCAATGATATACCTATAGTAATTCTCTTTGATGGAGTTTTGATCATCCATTTTTTTTTACTGAAAAAAATGAAGATTCAAGATGTAAATTTATAAAAGATTAGGCAAACACAAACCGTATACATATAGTGATTTAATATCATTGACTAATGAATAATTTCTAAACACAGAAACCTTAATATATATATTTATATTCTATAGAAAGGTGAAGACGACCAACGACCAGTGGCAAAAGGGATATTAAATCAAATATACAAGGGCAAATTATAACTACTGTACTAAAATTTGTTGATATCCGTGCACTTATGCTCAAACCAAGGCTGTATTTTTTTTATACTCTAGAAGCATCTACATCTTTCTCCACTCTTCCAATGAAAATAAATAAATATCTCATTTGCATCAGTTTTCTTAGATTTTCAAGACTAAAGGTTTAAGACATTGAGTGTTTCCAGGTATGTTCTATTCGCATTTTTGCTTAAATCTCTTCGATTAAATTTTTCAATTTTCAATTTTGAGTGACCATTTCTTTTTTCTTGCTCTTAATCAGTCCTTTTCAAATATTCAAAGATGGCTTCTGTTCACTTTCTTAATTGGATATTACAACCCTAGGTCGTTTTCTTTTTTCTTGCTCTTAATCAATCCTTTTGAAATATTCAAAGATGGCTTCTGTTCACTTTCTTAATTGGATATTACAACCCTAGGTCGTTTTCTTTTTTCTTGCTCTTAATCAATCCTTTTGAAATATTCAAAGATGGCTTCTGTTCACTTTCTTAATTGGATATTACAACCCTAGGTCGTTTTCTTTTTTCTTGCTCTTAATCAATCCTTTTGAAATATTCAAAGATGGCTTCTGTTCACTTTCTTAATTAGATATTACAACCCTCGGTCGTTCCAAAAATATGAATTGATAAAAAAATTAATAACTGTGTGTTTTGTTCTATCTTCTATTTTCTTAAAATTATCTCTCTCTTAGATTATGGATAATTCAAATTTCTATGTTCTCTTGTGCTCGTGTTTAATGGTATAACAAAGCCTTCATCTTTAGTATTGAGACACTCATATAGCTAAAGCATCACA